CCCCGGACACCCCAGCTGTGTCCTGCCCCCCCCATCACCCTGGCTCGGTGGGGACACCCCCCTCAGGACCGTCCCCCTCGCAATGGGGACGTGGGGACAACCCCCAGCTGCTCCTCGGTGGTGACACTGGATGTTGTGTCCCCCCCCCCACCCAGGAGGACGACATTGACGGGATCCACATCGTGGCCTTCGCTGAGGAGGATGATCCGGGTAAGGGGGTGGCGGGGTGGGATGAGGGGCAGTCTCCAGGGATGGGAGGCCCAGCTGCTTCTCACCATGGTGCCCCTGGCCCAGATGGGTTCGAGTTCCTGGAGATCCTCAAGGACGTGGCCCAGGACAACACGGACAACCCAGACCTCAGCATCATCTGGATCGACCCTGAGGACTTCCCACTGGTACCCACAGGGCGTCATCCCACTCCTCCCAGCGCTGTCCCCGTCCCTCCCAGGGGTGACACCCCACGGGGTGACGTGGTGGCCCCGCGGGGTGACTCACGGCTGTCTCTCACCCTCCAGCTCGTCCCCTACTGGGAGAAAACCTTCAACATCGACCTGTCCCGGCCCCAGATCGGAGTGGTCAACGTCACCGACGTGAGTGTTCCTGTCCCCACCCCCCCGGGCCAGGACCTGCCAGTGACCTTGTGGCTGAGGCCCGATGGGCTCATCACACATGTGGCCTCGAAGGCTGCGCTGTGGGAGCCGCTGGCTGCTCCGTTCTCATGCCGCCCCCATCCTGGAGCCCCCACGGTGCCGGGGTCACAGCACGTCCTGCCCGTCCCCTCCCACCGCGCGAGTCTCACGGCCCCATCCCAGCTCCAGGTCCCCTTCCCTGTCCCACGTCCTCGGGTCCCCTCCACATTCCATAGCCCTGTCCCATGGCTGGTGTCCCTATACTGTCTCCTGTCCCCATCCTGTGGCTGGTGTCCTGTCCCTTGTCCCCATCCCATGGCTTGTACTCCCATCCTATGCCTGGTCCCCATCCCACGGCTGGTTTCCCCATCCTGTCCCCATCCCACAGCTGGTGTCCCCATCCCCATCCCATGGCTGCCCCAACCCTGTCCCCAGTCCCCATCGTATGGCTGCTTCCCCATCTTGTCCCCGTGCCCGTCCCATGGCTGGTGTCCCCATCCTGTCCCCGTCGCATGGCTGCTGTCCCCAGGCCGACAGCGTGTGGCTGGAGATGGCGGACGAGGACGACCTGCCCAGCACGGCCGAGCTGGAGGAGTGGATCGAGGACGTGCTGGAGGGCGAGATCAACACCGAGGACGATGACGACGACGACGATGACGACGACGACGATGATGACGACTAGGCCCAGGGCCGGGCTGGGCTGCGGCCCCCTCCTGTGTCCCCATCCCTGTCCCGGTGCCGCTCGAGCCATTAAAGACCCCAAGGAACCAGATTTCCCCGTGCAAACTCCTCCATGCCAGATCCCTGTGCAATGACATCCCCGTGGGACGTCCCCCAAGAGACCCCGTGGACGAGATCTGTCCCCTCATGCGCAAAATCCCCAGGTGAAAGCCCTTGTGCAAGACCCCCCTGAGAGATCCCCCTCCAAGACCCCTGTGTGACCCATCCCGCCGTGTGACACCCGGGGGCTGGGGTTTCCCTGGGCTTTCCCACGTCCTGCTAAGGGGAAATGTCTGGGTGGGAGGGACGGTGACACTTTGCGGATGGTGACACCACAGGGATGGTGACACATGGGGGGATGGTGACACCCAGGCAGGTGATGACAAGCCTGTGGCGATGGGGACACTGCAGAAGTGGGGACTGCCATGGAGACATGTGCAGGGGGACATGAGGGGACCCATGCACAGAGACCACCCGCTCACACGCGTATGAGTGTGCAGGGACGGGTGTGTGCGCGGGTGACGTGCCTGAAGCGCCGCCTGTTCCCGGGACCTGTCCCCTAGGGCTGCGCGCTGTGACCGGCGCACACTGTTCGCTCTCGCACACTCGCCAGCCCCAGACACGCACCCCTGCACACTCACAGGCCCCCTCACTCACACACACAACCCGCTCCACTGCACACCCGCTGTGCACACTTACGCCTTGCACGTGGCCTTGCACACACCGCCTGTGCACACCCACACCCCCATGCACACTGTGCGCGCGGCCTTGCACACTCACAACCTCTGTGCACACTTGCACACTGTGTACCCTTGCACACTCGCACACACCACACACACCCTGCATGAGGCCTTGCACACCCGCAGCCCCCACAAACACCCCCACCGCAGGCCTTGCACACTCATCTCCTGCCACGCACCACCCTGGCCCAGGCCGGGGGAAGTGAAAGGCCCAACTGGAGCCAGTTCCTCTTCCTGCCCCCTCCCAGGACCTTGTTGGGGGGAGGACACGGCCGGGGGTGGTGGCTGGAGTCCCTTCAATAACACGGCCCACCCTGGGCCCCCTCGCACCTCTGCCCACCCTATGATGCCACCACACGCGTGTGTGTCCTTCCCTCACCTCCACTGCACCATGCACAACCGTCCTACCAACAGCCTCACAACACCGTCACGCTCGCACGGTCAAGTCGCAGGGTACGTGCACTCACACCCGTGTGCAGCCGAGTGACAACATTCGCACTGTCACTTGCATCCCCCGCACACACGGCAACCTCACTCGCACACTCACCCCAACTTCACACTCGCACCACCAGCCTCCCTTGCACACTCAACCCCGCATCATCGCACTCCCACTCGCACAGTCGCCCCGGCGCTGCCACCTCGCTCGCACGGCCACCCTGCGGCGGTGCCAGGGGGTGGCACAGCCGCGTGCTGTCACCCGCGCACACTCACACTCAGCACCCCCCACACTGCCCCTTGGCC